AGGGAGCCCGATGCGGGGCTCGATCCCAGGACCCTGGGATCATGACCTGAGCCGAAGGCAGACGCTTAAGGACTGAGCCACCCAGGCGCCCCTCTTGAGTTTCTTCTTGAGCCACTCTCTCCTTATTGAAATTCTTTCAGTTTTCCTGAAAAAGTTTGTTTTTCTTTCCATCTCAGGGCTCTGGCACAAGCTGCCTCCTTTGCCTGCTTACTTCAGCTCACCTGTCAGGTTTCAGTGAGTAGGCACCTCCTCCAGGAAGTTTTTCTTGACTCATCGTCCTAAGTTGTTTACACATTTCCTTAACACCCTGCACTTCTTCAGCACAGTCACAGGCTTACCATTATTTGTTCAATGTTTATTTTCTCCATTGGACAGTAAGTGCCATAAGGGCAAGGACCATGTCTGTCTTGTTTACCGTTATCCTTAGCACCCAGGGCAGCGTCTGGCTCATAGAAGCATTTTTTTAAAAAATGTATGTATTTGACAGAGACCGAGCACAAGCAGGGGGAGCAGCGGCAGAGGCAGAGGGAGAAGCAGGCTCCCCACCGAGCAGGAAGCCTGATGCAGGACTCGATCCAGGACTCCAGGATCATGACCCGAGCCGAAGGCAGGCGCTTTAACGACTGAGCCACCCGGGCGCCCTCAGAGAAGCATTTTATAAATCCTAGCTAAACACAGCAGTTAAGAAGAACATTAATAAGACCAGCATTCTAGAACAGCTAAGAGGTGTTACTGTCCTCCTCCTGGGACTAAGTGGGAATTCTTAGGCTCCAGTATCCTTGGGCTAGAGACCTACCATCTCGGGCTCTTTGCCTCTTCACGACAGCTTCTGCACTATTTCCACTTCCCTCGCAAGTTGCCTAGGAACCCTATGCAACGGGTTCATCACTGTGAACATGACTATATGCTCTTTAGCTTTCAAAACTCAGTCCACATTTTGTTGTTGGAGAGATCCAAAGGTTAAGAACAACAGAGTCAAAGCATCCTTCCGCCTGCATCAAAATGTAATCCAATATCCTTGTGAAGTGGCTTATAGCACATAGCTGATTAGAACCTCCATGAAAGTAAAATTTCAGAGCTGCTCCTTGGCCCCAGAAGCTTATGTTGCCCATTCTGATATTCAAATGGAAATACCTGCAGGTGGCTATCTCTGAATCTGTCAAGTACATATGGTGTATCCATTGTATATAGGTATAAATGGGTGATTTTGCTTTCATAACTCTATTTTTCAATCTTTTTTATGTAGAATGTTTTATATGATTGGGGGAGAGAGAGCACTTTTTTAGAAAAATAGGGAAATATGCCACACTTGGGTTTCTTCTTCAGTTTCACAAGGAGCTGTATAGAGAGATACACACTACCAAATCTTCCTTACTCGGAATTTTCTATGCTGCATTTGAGAATGTCCTCACCTGTAATAGCATCGGCCCTGGGCATGCCATCAGTATTTCTGCTTTTCAGTAAGGTGAAAAGCAAGAAGTCAGAAGAAAGAGAAAACAACTATGGTATAACTGTTTAAAACTGTCTAAAAATAACCATGGTGTAATTGTTTAAAACTGTATACCAGCAGGCTGTTAAAAATATTCAGAGGTTATAAGAAAACAGTTTTGAAAAGATTAATAGACATCAATAAGACTGGCAGTTTTTGGCATCCTAGACACAATGCTTTAACACTAAGCAAATTCTCATCCCTAATAATTTATAGTGATTGCATCTGGAACAGTCCTACTCAAAGCTGAGAGACACAGAATATAGATAAGAAAGGTATATTCTATGTCTGTTTCACGTTCTACCCTCACTGCCTGAACATTATTATGCAACAAAGATGAATTTGAACAACCAAAAAATAAAAAGTCAGTTGTTTCAGCACCCGAAATTTAGTAAGAAACCCTTCATTTTAGGTAAAGTTTTAACATCAAAGATACATTCTCTCACCTACAATCCTAGCAAGAGAAATTTTGGAGTTTTGCAGACATATAGTTAGGAAAGATGAAAATTTCTCCCCAAAAGCCATAAATTAAGCTACACAGACACTAGTAGTTATCATGGAGTATAAAATAAAACAACCAGAAACAATAATACACTAGGATCTGTGGAGTTAATTTTTAAAAATTTACTCCAAAGACAACTTTTTTTTAATCAAAGCTTTAAAGTGAGTTATATGTGTATCCTGACAAAAAAGGGCTCTTAGTTCATTGAAGATATGCTATAAGTTTATGACTGTCTATAGATTTAAAAAATAAAAGAGCCATAAGCATTCGGAAAGGGGCTCCAGGCCCTGCACCTTTAAATTGAGCAGCCTGGTGAAACATCCAAAGTCCCCTCAAGATGAGGGAACGCTGAGGGGGCACATCAATGCTGCTAAACCTGCAGCCAAGGAGAAAACTCTCCCTAGGAAGGAGTAAAAATGGAATGAAATGAATGGCAACCAACAGGAATTCCCATTATAAGAGCAAACCCTATATTCCACATAAATCAGGGGTAACATAGTCCGTAAACATTCCTGACTTTATAAATAAGGCAACAGCCTATTTCCAGAGTTTGCTATGTCTCCCTGTTTTCCCACTTTCCACTGTGTAATATGACACGTGACATGGCCCTAAGGCGTTCTTGGCATCTACAGCAGTGATTGGTACCTGCAGGTGCACGGTAAATCATGTATGAACAAATGGTCGGATGAATGAACGAATGACACTTGCCGGGAAAGTGACTGGGACTCGAATGGGTGTCAGTGACCTGAAGGAAAAAGTGGTTACAAAAATACATGCTGTCTTCAGGCCAGGTGTTTAGAAAAAGAGAGTGGCCTGTGCTTTACCCAACAAGGTCGGGGGCCAAAGTATATATTAAATTAGATAAATGAAAGCCCTCTATCAAACAAAAGCATATATATATATATATATTTAATTCTGCAAGCTTAGAAGCCCCAAGTAGCTGCTAATGCTGCCATTTAAAATAGTTACATCGTTGAATATATACTATGTAAATGAAAACATTAAGAAACATCTAATAGTTACTTTAGTTTAAGAATCTAATTGTCTCTATTGCTGGCTGAACTAGGATTTCTAATAAACTATTCTGATCCATCATTTTATTATAATAATAGACTCTCAAGTAGAAACAGGTATAGAAATTGATGTCAGTTCACTTGTCAATTTTTTTCCTCCAAAGAAGTTTATAAACATTTTAAATCACAACCCTGTATTAATTTAAAAATTAAAATAAGGTACTCTATAAACAGCCAAAATAATAAGCCTGTAAAATTTGAAGCTAATAAAGTTTTATTACCAGTTAGTTCAACTTATGAAAACGGCAAAGTTAGCAGCATCTACTGGAAGCAGTTCAATACAAAATGATATACATATTATCACATATTAAATGCACGTAAAAATAATTTAAAACAAAATATATAAAAACAGCAATCACAACGCACATAGCCCTCAATCCTGACATACTTCTATAAATAAGAACTGATATCTCTAAGGTTAACTGATGTTAACCTTAGAGATAAATATTAATGAAGCAATATTATGTCAAGTGCTTCATGCTCCCAGGGTAAAGGTGATATGACTAATAACTCAAAATCTGAAAGTGGGGCAGGGAGGAGGCATCAGAAGGGAGGAATAAGGAGAAACGTACCGTGCAAATATGAGGCCAGTGTTCAAATTGTTGTAAAATTCCTTGATTAAGTTCTTCTTTATATAACTCTTTGTAAAAATGTGGAAGCTTAGATATCCAAATGCCATTGTTATGCTTGTTTAGTATTTCCTTTATGCGGTTTTGAACCTCATCCATCTTATAAGTGTAAGAGGCAGGAGGCGTGACATTTGGTTTTTCAACAGTCTGATTTAAATTATCTTTAAATTAAAAAAATGATAGAATTAGCCAGAAGGCTTAACATTTTAGATTATCCCCATTACCTAGTATTTGTGTCATTAGGCTTGGTTATACTTCAGGCTTATGGGGGTCAAGGGACTTAGAAGCAAGCAGGATTAGGCCAAGCAGGACTATGACAACTTCATTCTAAATTTTAACTCTGAAATGACCAGTAGGCTCAACAGTCACCCACAGAGGGAACCTGCTCCCTTTATGTTACAAGGATGCTTCCTAATTTAATTTAAACATCAGGATGATCTTGCCTCGTAAAGAATAATGAAATTTATTATTTAACCAATCATTTCCTAGTGCAACTAAGAAAGGTTAAATTTTAGACAATACCGGTATATATGAAATGCTTAAAGTTATATTCCACAAAGCATTAGGATAATGCCTTAATTGTAAGATCAAAGAACGTTTTATAGAAAATAAAAAATTGTCTAGGTTTTAAAATATAATTTTGTGCTTTATTAATGAGAAAAATAATTCAGCAATACACAGAAGTTCAAAAATTGATCCACCTACAGTAATCATCCTAGCCTCAGTTTATAAACTAAATAAAAGCTCTGGTACCCACAGATATCTACTAATTTGCTTTTATTTCCTCAATCCAAATCATTTATCTTTTATAAGTGAATTTTTATAAAGTTTTAGCTAGCTCTCTTTACTCACACTTATTTTTTATTTAAAACTTAGAATGCCTGAGCCAACATCCTAGACAATAAAGAAATTTGAGTGTCCACTATGGCTGACAGTTCTGGTATTTTAAGAACAATGAAATTCATTCCAAACCTCTTCTAAGTTTCCCTGGGACACAGATTAGAGTGTATTAAAGATTACCATCTACAAGCAAAATATGTTCATATTTTAATCAGACAGTATTTCTACCGGGATTCAGCAAATTTTGTTCTATTTTAAACTGGCAGGTAGAGAGATACACAGACTAGTTTGGGAACGCTGGCCTCTGAGGATGCCAGGAAGCCAAAGGGTGAGTGGTTCCTTGAGGATGGCTAGATGCTGACTTTGCTTTATCAACCACAGGGCACGAGACTTAATTTGGCTCAGCAAACAAATGAGTCCACGATGTCCATATAAAGGCATTACTAATTTATCTAGGTTCTTTCCAGATAATGATACAAAAGGACCAGGAATAAGGAAAAGATGAGCTTCTGAGAACTGGCCAGACCTCCCTTAAAGAGAGAGTGTCAGAACTGATGCAAGATTGGAGTCTCTGCTAAATGCACCTCTTCTGTGGGGCCACTGGGAGTCTCCTAAACTTGTGTGCCTTTTGTTAAACAAATCAAGGAAGTAATCTGTTTTATAACAGGTAGGAGAGACTGTGTATAAGTGTGTACATATCAGCTGCCAGGTGAACTGCAGTCCTCTGAAACAAGTCCTCATGGTTCTGTAGAAAAAAGCTTATTCTAACTGAAAAGGATTTACAATCTCTAAAGGGTATACAACTTTACTGAGTAAGCCATGTTTCAGAAAATGCCTGTGTAACAGTAATTGATATAAACAGAAATCATATTATTCAGTTAATTTCTATAAGAAATACCAGAGATGTGTTCTTACGGAAAAAATTATTTTGACTCACTAAGAATCACACTTAAAGCAGAAAATCATTTAAAATCACACTTAAATTTCTTGCAACATAAATACTGATTTTGAAACACTGTGTCCCTCAGGTGGGTCTATGAGTAGGGAATTTATACTTTGGTTGGAGAAGACAAGAAAACGAGTGTGTGCATTTTTAATCTGCAGATTCTTTGACTTTATTATATTTCTTACAGTTTTCTTAACAGCCCTTTTGGATTTTATAACCCAAGGAATCATTTATATTTGTACTTAGATGCTTAGTGGTCATTGCACACGGTTTAGGGTCCAAGGCTTTTAAATGGTGGAGTATCTGAAACCACTTTATGAGTTGAAGTCCCATATTTACGTACTTTAAATCTTACCCTCTAATGAGTGAGAGCGTGACAAGGGACACAAGTATCTCTGCAGGTGACACACGGAAGTGAGAGAGAATTGGCCTGATGTGAGAAAGGCCTATGTCAGAATAATGATATCTCTGGAGGTATTATTTTCTCTTTAGATCACCTCACGTCATAATTTAAAGAAATGAGGAAAGAGGGGAAGAGAGATATACTCCAAGTAGGATAAGGTGAGAGCAAATGTGAAAAACCACCATCAGATATTTTTCTTAGGGGCTCTGAGGCTCCAGAAGCCAAAAGGTATCATGAAGATAATGTTTAGAAAACATACCACTCATCTCCTTAGCACAGGTTCTTGAGAGATGCATCTGAAAGGGTGGTGGAAGGGATGCCTTTGGGCTAAACCTAAGGTGTTAAAAAAAAAAAAAAAAAGTAAGTTAAAATTCTAATAGCAAAATCTATGCCAAGTTTTAAACACCACTTTTCATTTAAAGTCTCTGCAGCACTGAACAGCAAAACAAGTCAGAATATTTCAAAATGAGCAAAAATGAAAATGATACCTGGTATTAGCTCTCATGTTTCATACTCACCCAGAGAAAAATGTGTTAAAAGCTAAATTTATTTTTTAAAATTTTAATGTAGTTATGTTTACTAGTCTTTTTATTATGGTTTTCACTTTTAGCGTTTTTCTTTTTTTTTATTATGTTCAATTAGCCAACATATAATACATCAGTAGTTTTTGATGCAGTTTTACAACAATTCATTAGTTACGTATAACACCCAGTGCTCATCACCACATGTGCCCTCCTTAATACCGGGTGATGGGTATTAAAAGCTAAATTTAAACTAGAACTTTAAAAGAACTTGGAAGTTAGATTTCCAAGTACTCACCTTTAAGGGACTAGCTGTACAAAGTAAAAAAAAAAAAAAATCGTGCAGAGAATAAGCAGTTGAACATAAAGAATATTTTGGAATATAACTAAAAAATGAAGGACTTCCATCACCAGATACTGTAATGAGTTATAAAGTGGCAACATTTATAATCTTTGAGCAGATAAGTAAAATGATACAGAGCTTAGAAACACTCAATTTACATTGTATCTGAGCATATGAGAAAAGTGGCATTCCAAATCACAGAGGGGATTGTTCAAATAACAAATTAGAAAAGAAGAAACATAGATTCCCCACATCTCATACCCTCCGCCAAATAATTTTTATATAAATTATATTGGATATATGTAGGAAGATTTTTCCAAATAGGAGGACAAGAAACCACACACACACACACCCCCCATTTGTGTTCATGTCAGTCTCCCTCACTAGACTCCAAGTGTCTTAATGACCTGTTTCCAGTGCCTAGGGCAGTGCTTGGTACAGGCAACGGAGAGTGAATGTTGTATAGTGAATAAGATGACTGAATGAATCAATGACTGCATCTTGCCCAACAGTGGGTATGGGACTAGAGTGGGTGACAATGACACAGTACACATATTTTCCGATTTTTGGATGGTATGGAATACTCTAAAAATTAGACCAATTCTTTGGAATGAAGCACATCTCATAATATTTTAATTCTATAATAAATTATTAAATGGTAGACTACCAACACAACTTACTTACTATATGATGGTATGCAACTATAAGAGCATCGTATTTATGTATTAATGCATCTGGGTAATAACAGAAGATGCCAAAACATATCCAACTCCTACTTATGCAGAACTGGTAGGGAGCCAGCACTCTTTTCCCTTGCACCAGACCATAAAAATGTAAATTGGAACCTTCCCCTGCTCTGAGTCTGCTTTGAGGGCTCTAGTAGCAGGCAGAGGGTTATGAGCAAAGAGAGAGCATAGAGAGATTATGGCAAGGAGAGCTATGGTTCAAGCATGGGTAGGTCTGATGGACAGGAAAGAAAACAGTTGACATAGCAAAAGAAAGCTTTCAAGGGAAACTGCAGGGACATATGAAAAACAAACATAATAAGATGAAAGAGGTCCAATCAATTTTATAACAGTAAGTATAAAACATTTATTATTTTGTTTCTTAAAAGACAAATAAATAGTGGGCCGCCTAGGTGGCTCAGTCGGGTGGGCGTCCGACTCTTGACTTTGGCTCAGGTCATGATCTCAGGGTCATGAGATGGAACCCCGAAGTTGGGCTCTGCACTGGGTGTGGAGTCTGCTTGGGATTCTCTCTCTCCCTCTCCCCCCCACCCCACTCGTACTCTCTCTCTCTCTCTAAAAAAAAAAAAAAAAGACAAATACTTAGACTGGTCCAAAAAAATCCCCCATTAAATCTAAACATATGCCACGTATTAGAGACACATTCATACCCCACAAACACTTATTTAAGGACCTACTATGTGGGGGCATGGGGAGACAGAAATGAACTATGATTAAGCAAGAGAAACACACTCCTATCTCATGGACTATACATATAGCTGATAAAACAGACTGTGGGAAGCAGTTATGACACGGCCCCCAGTGATTCTTGCCTCGGTATCCACAGCTTTGTGCAATCTATTCCCCTTGAGTCACTTGCTTCTAACCAAGAGAATATTTCAAGGTTGAGGGGATTACAAATGATTAGGTTACAGAAGATTCTAATTTCCACCCCCTGCTAGCATAATCTCTCCCTTGCTGGCTTTGATGAAGCAAATGGACATATCGGGGAGGCCTATATGGGAAGATATTGAAGGTGGTCTTTGGCCAACAGCTAGGAACTCGGGCACTGAGAAAAAACGGAAATGATTATGCCAACAACCATGTGCATCAGCCCAGAGGCAGATTCTTGCTCAGTTCACCCCAGCCATGGCCAGTACCTTCAGTGCAGCCTCATAAGAGACTGAAGCAGAGGACCCAGCTAAGCAGTGTCAGATACCTGACCCACAGAAACTAGGAGATAATAAATATGCGTTATAAGCTGCTAGATTTGTATAATCTCTTACATGAAAGTAGGTAATAATGCACTGACAAAATCTATTTATAAAAACAAAACCTACTAAGTGCTATGATAGTGGCAATAGGTATAATGAAAGCATATGATAGAAGCAAGAAGCCAAATCAGGAGTAGAGAAAGGAGGAAGTAGAGAGTAAAGGTTATTGACACATTATAGAGTTATAATAATTTGAATACTTTGGCACAGCAAAAGAATAGACAGATAACTAATGGTTCTGAATGGAAAGCCCGGAAACTGAGTCATATATTTATAACAATTTATTAGTAGTAAATACAGCATTCGAAACCAGTGTGGAAAGAAAAGATTACGCAATGACTGGTAGCAGGACGTCTGGGTAACAAGACTGCTACGCTTATCCTGTACACCACATAAATTTTGGATTAAAGATTTAATGAGACCATAACATTCTAAAAGAAAACAGAAGACCTATTATATAATATTGGGGTAGAAATGCTTTTCTAAGCCTAACACCTAAAGACAGCAGCCACAAGAGAACAGATTAATAGATGTAACTCTAGAAAATTTTAAAAGTTTTTGTATAATGAAAATACCAAAATTAAATAAACTGAGGAAACACTGACAACACATTACAAAGGGTCAATATCCTTAATTTATAAATTATTTTTACAAATGAGAAAAGAAAAAAACCCCAGAAAAGTCGTGCAAAGGGCAAAGACATGTAATTCATAAACGATCTACAAATGGTCGAATAAACATATGACAAAATTATAACCTCCTTAAGAATCAAAGTCAAAGAAATAGACATTAAAACACAGGTACATTTTTTCACCTTTTAAAGTATCAACTAAAAAAGTGATGCCTAATGTTGACAGGGGTACAAAGAAACAATCACATCCATATGCTTCTAGAATATAATTGGTATAATCTGTGTAGAGCATAAATTAGTAATAGCCTTAGTATGTATAACCTCCTACCCAATTTTGCCAATTTATTCTAAGGTACTAGTTATGAATATATGCAAGGACTGTTCTACAGAGATACTCAGTAAGAATTGCTTACAATAATGGAAATCATTTATATTCAACAATATGTGGTTGGACAATGGACTTCCCTGACATGAAAAATGATAATGTAGGGGCACCTGGCTGGCTCAGTCAGAAGAGTATGCAACTCTTGATCTTGGGGTCATGAGTTTGAGCCCCACAATGGGTGGAGAGATTACTTTAAAGAAACAAATAAATAAACAAACTTAAAAAATTGATAATGTAGAAGTATTCTTTTTTTCCCTCATTCATAAATACATAATTTCATTTGCTGTTTTCAGGGGAAACTTAGGCATTAAGATGTAAGCTGATAAAATACAGATACCTAAAAAAGTATAAAAGTACAAATAACCCCTTAGAATAAATTTTAGTGAATTAAATCTTAATATCTTTAAATTAAAAAACCACAAGCCTATCTATTATGTCAAGGTCATAAATCAAAAGACACTACATGGCCAGCAGCACCCACAGGTACACCCCAAGGCCAACAAGCTATTTACCTTTTAAAACAGGTTATAAAACAGTAATACACAGCATGATCCCATTGGTATTTTTAAAAACTTATATATACACAAATAAAATACATATATATATTTTAAAGATTTATTTATTTTAGAGAGGGGGGAGGGAGAAGCAAAGGGAGAGGGAGAAAGAATCTCAAGCTGACTCCAAGATAAACACAGAGCCTGATGCGAGGCCCAATCTCATGACCACAAGATCATGACCTGAGCTGAAAGCAAGAGTCAGGTGCTTAACCAACCAGGAACCCCTAAAATAGATATATTTTTTAAAGATTTACTTATTTGAGAGAGAGAGAGAGAATGGGAGGAGGGGCAGAAGGAAAGGGCAAGAGAGAATCCTCAAGCAGACCTCCCACTGAGTGCAAAGCCCCATGCAGGGCTCTATCCTAGGACCCTGAGATCATGACCTGAGCCGAAATCGAGAGTCAGACACTTAATCAACTGAGTCACCCAGGTGCCCCCAAAAGATAGATATTTTTTAAATGTTTACATTTATGTTTGGATTAGAGGCAATCTTTTTTATTCCTTTTACTTCCTTATGCTTTGCAAATTTTCTATACCATACACATAGTACTTTTGCAATCAGAAAAAAGCAATAAAGGTATTTTAGAAAATGTTTCCTACAAATATTTAGGATGTACTACACATACAATAGTCAAACATATAAAGACTCAGAAACTAACAATAAATTTATATTCATTTAGCTTAATACTTGAAAGATGCCTTTATGATCATGGTGTCTGTTGGCTAATGCCAGACAGCCATTTATTCCTATTCAAAGTCCGTGATCTTACTCACTATAATATACACATAGCAATTTCTTCTCTCTTTCTGGGCCTAATGGGAACCTTGACCTTCAGCACTGTATTTATCTATGTTTTATGGATAAATATATTAAATACCTAATTTAGTAATTTTATCACCTTAATAAAAATACAATGGTCAGGAATTACATTATTTTAGAGATAAACATTTCCTTCCCTCATATAAACCAGAGAAATCACAAATCAATCAGATATCCTTACTCCTGACCCCTTTCTATTTTACTGGTGACACATGGTAAACTTAGCTTGATACCTACAATATCAGAAAATATCTGTCATGTTATTTTTCTAGAACCTTCCAGTTTGTTAACTGGCAGACATGTGTTCTTAATCAGAGGTCCTGAGAAAGGGCTTCTGGGGGGCACGAATCTCCTGAATTAATATACAAAGATGTGTGTATATGTGTACACATTTATTTTTCTGGGAAGATCATTTATACCTTTTATCAGCTTCTCAAAAGATTTGGTGAGTCCTCAAATTTTAAGTTAATAATAGTTTTTACTATTTAATATTACTCTCTCTTTAAAATAAATAGATAAATACATAAGAATAAAAAAAATAAATAGATAAATAAATAAATCTTAAAAAACAAACAAAACAAAACTGATATGCCCATAGATGATGTGTCATTTCTCTGGCTGTTTTCAAGATTTTTTCTTTGTCTTTAGTTTTTAGAAGTTTAATTATGATGTGGCTTCATGTGAGTTTCAATGAATTTATCCTATTTAGGACCCTCTGAACTCTTGAATCTGTAGGTTTATGTCCTTAGCCAAACTTGAGAAGTTTTCAGCCATTATGCCTTCAAACACTCTTTCAGCCCCACTCTTTGTCTTCTCCTGAGTCTCTCCTGAGACTCTGATAATACACGTTAGACCTTTTCTTATTTTCCCCACAGGTCCCTAAGGCTCTTCTAGGTGTTTTATTTTCAAAGGCCCCTCAGGCTCTACTAGGTGTTTTTCGTTTGTTTGTTTTCCTTTGTTTTTGAAGGAAGTCTACTCTGTTGTTCATATTGGGCCAATTCTATTGCTCTATCTTCAAGTTCACTGATTCTCTTCTCTGTCATATTCATCCTGTCATTGAGCCCAGTGATTTTTTTATTCTGGTATTCCATTTTTTAATACTATAGTTTCCATTTGGTTCTTTTTTTATATGTTCTATTTCTTTGGTGAATTTTCTATTTTTCCACTTTTTTCAAATTATTTGCAACTGTTCACTGAAGCATTTTTAGGAGAGCTGCTTTAAAATTCTTGTCAGATAATTTCAACATCTGATTCATCTTGGTGTTGGCATCTGTCAACTGTCTTTTCTCATTCAAGTTGTCATTATCCTGGTTCTTAGTATAACAAATGATTTTTTTTTATTGTATCCTGGACATTTGGACATATGTTAGGAGACTCTGAATTCTATTTAAAAGTCATATTTTAGCAGGTAGCTACCCTGCTTAGGTTTAGCACATAGCTCCTGGCCCACTTCTGTAGGCTGTAGTTTCAATGATAACTCATTTTTCAGTGCCCTTATGGTGCTATTCTGGTCTGGTACATTTATTTGTTGCTGTTGGGGCTCCTTCTTGATCTCTGCAGGTGCTGCCCATAGGAGCAGAATGTACATCCCTGTACAATGCTGCTAGGTGGAAGGGTGACAACACATTAGGCTGTAGGTCAGAAAGCACCACCTTGGGCCTGCTCTTTGGGCTGCTTGGTGCTGGCACAGCCTCCACTCAGTTACTGCTGGTGGTACCTGGAGGAATGGAAGGCACTTACCTAGGTTGCCTATTGCCACTAAGAGACAGGTAGGAGACACCAGACCATGGGATAGAGAATGCCCCCCTGAGACCACAATCCAGAATGTCTAGGTTTTGCTGTCATTTTATAGATTCAATTCAAAATGGATCTTGAAATTTAGGCACACAACTAGAGGAGACGATGGTACCTTTGTCACATACGGGACCCAACCTGTGCTTTGGGTCAAGATCCAGTTTTAACTATGTATTTCCTAGACCTCATCAAAATTGTAATAACTAGCCATAACTAGCGTTAAATATATACCACTATGAAAAATTTCATCTAACATATTAAAAATAATTCTTTCTAAATATTCTAGTATGGGGGGCAGTGCTGGGATTTTTGAACACTGATTTAAAAGGATATTATACAACAAAATTTATTTTATAAAGACATGAAAAGAATGAAAGAATGTGATACTGATCCATCTATATCAGGAGTTGGTAAACTTTTTCTGTAAAGGGTCCACTAGGACACATTTTAGATTTTGCAGGCCATACTATCTCTGCACAACTACTCAACTCTGTGGTTGGCAAAAGCAACCACAGACAACATATAAACAAAGGGATGTGGCTTTGTTTCAATAAAACTTTATTTACAAAAAAACAGGCAATGGGCCAGGTTTGGCCCATGGGTCGTAGTTTGCTGACCTGAATTACATTATAAGATTTAGAGCCATGGGCGCCTGGGTGGATCAGTTGGTTAAGCGACTGCCTTCGGCTCAGGTCATGATCCTGGAGTCCCTGGATCGAGTCCCACATCGGGCTCCCTGCTCAGCAGGGAGCCTGCTTCTCCCTCTGACCCTCCCCACCTCATGTGCTTTCTCTCATTCTCTCTCAAATAAATAAATAAAATCTTAAAATAAAAAGATTTAGAACCAGAAAGGAACTTTGAGATCACCTAGTTTAACATTTTCATTAAATGAATGAGAAAACCACAGCCCAAAAGATGAAATAATTTCACTCGTTCACCTGGCTAGTAAATGGCAGCACCCAAACTATGACTTTAAGCTTGCTCTTAATTCTGTCCAATATTCTGATACACGGATGTATGATGCTACTGTATAATTATGGATATGATTATTAGAGCATAGTAGAATGTGCAAATCAGTAAGATTTTACCAAAAATTTACAAAAGTAATTATAAGAAAGGTTTTCAGAAAAAATTGTAAGTTATGCTGAAACAGCATCTTAAAATAACTTGTTAGAGTTTTTTTTTTTCCTCTGAGAGCTTTCAATGTGAATTTTATAAGGAGAGATTACCAAAAATGCAGAGAAAATATAAAATGAAGATATTCAGACAATGACATTGAGGTAGCAAGAAAAGTGGCCTTGTAGTAATGATGCATTTCCCTTCCACACGTGAACTTACATTAGATATAACAGAGTATTTCCTTCTTATCCTGAACATACATTTTTAACATTTATTATCCTACGTTCACCATACTTTTCTCCTTTTAGCCAGGTAAAGCCCAAATACCTGTTGTTGGTAGACATGGTCACATGCCTCTGCACTGGAACGTCTTTGAATACTTCACTTCCAATAGTTGTGTGTAATGTGTAAGGCGGCATTTCAGCATCAGACTTAACTCCAAGAGAGTTTCCTTTGTCTCTTAACAGTGTTGGGTTAGGTTTTTTGCTGATAGAAAAATCTGAAGAAATTCCTGGTTGTCTGAGGGTTGCTTTTGGTTTTCCTAAGAAGTTAGGCATACATAATAAAATCAATTAGCTTCCCAAAAGTCTAGTTTTCACTACGCCACTCCCCTGTCCAGATGTTTTCTGTGGGTCTCTATCCTCAGAACAGTTTGTAAGAACACGAGGAAGTTGCCACTACGGGGTTTGTCAGTGGGGGAAGAACAGATTGGTATTTAGCAGGTGAGATTCTTTACAACGTGGCTTCGTATGTTCAACTAGCCAGTTATCATCCGTCTACTCAGCACTCACCCCTTCAGTGGCAGCCACCTCGTGCTGCCACAAATGCACAATACTCAGTCCTCCTAGCTCTTCTCCATCAACTTAAACTCTTCCCACCGTCTGAGGTCTGGGTCAAGTCCCCCTTCACCATGAAGCCCTCCATTGCCATTCTCACCACAACTGCTCCCTTGTTGAAAACGCTCACTGTGGCATTCAGGCATCTACTCTTTTATATTACCATTGAACTATATCTTGAGAATTTAGTTTTAGAATGATTATAAGCTACTTGAGATAAGTGTTCAGTAAACACTGGCTGAGTTGCCTACAACACCTTTGTATATTATATAATTCATGGTTTTTTTCCTGAAAATAGAGGATTTTAGTATAAAAGTATAAAGACATGATTTGCTAAATAAGGCATTAAATCCTAGGTTCTTGGTTCATCCAACATTTTGGATTAGGCTTTACCCCAAATAACTTAAAAGAATAAAGCAATACTTTGCCACAATAAGCTTAATTAAAATCTATTCTGAGTTATTTCACGCTGTATAATAACTTAGTAAATTATGCTCATCATCTGGTGATGGAAGTCAATTTCAAATGGAAATACTAACTTTAGGATTTCCCCCTTGACGTGTGAATGTTAACAAACAGAGGTGTTTATCATGAATACAAGCAATGCTTCCATAATTCCATATGACGATGTATTCATAGATAGGCTTAAAATTTTAGCATATGAAAAGAGCTTACCTTCTAGAAAAAATGGCATGGTTTTCTTTACTCTCATCTGACAATTAACTTGCCGCCCGGTTTTCCTTTTAGAACTCCTCTGACGAGCCACAAGCTGAGCAATTCTTGCAGTTTCTGTACAGGCCATGGCATAGCAGGTAATCTATTCACGAGAGGCAAGGTGAGAGGAGAAACATTTCTCAGATTCACTGGTGCCTAGAGGCTCATTTTTAAAAGTGGATCTTAGCGAGTTTACACGTCCCAAATCAAACTCTATGCAAATATTTACATCTCTCTCCTCGATACTGATAGAGCAACATTACAAACATCACATATTCTACAAGAGAAACCACGAATAGTCTAGCACATTGAATAATCTTTCCTCAAATTGAAAATTGTATTTATTCCTTAAATAGGTATTCATTAAGCATCTACAATGTGCTAGGTACTATGGGATTAACAAATGAACCAGAAGAAACCTGTGTCCCACATATTATCTCATATAATCCTCGAGATATATTTTATTCCCATTTTATACATGGGTAATGGAGGCTCAGGAAAGTTAAGCAAACTTCCTAAGTCACACAGCTAGGCTATCTCTCTGAATCCTAAGTATGTACTCATAATTGCTATTTGTATTACCTCTCAAAGACCACCCAATCCTAATCTTGTCACTGAAGTGGATTAACTGGGTGACTTGGGAAAAATCAGTTTACCTCCCACATCTTAGTATTCTCAGCTGTAAGGAGGGAGTGGGCTTCGATCTGGGGTTTTCAAGCTGTTCAGTGGCAGCTCCGGGGCCTCACAGTGGCAGTGGCAGAGGAGTGAGGGCAAGGCAGGGCAACCTGAGGCCCTGGACCCAGTGGCACCTGCTTAAAACACAGCAGCTCAACTTTTCATCTTTTGAAAAAAACCGGTGTGATACATAGGAGTTTTTTTTCAAGTATGTAAGTCTCTAAAAGCCCCATCATAGTGTTAAAAAGTCTCTGATTCTAAGTTGAAATCAAGAACAGGAAAGCAATGAGGCTTTACATAAGCCAAGGCATACTCTATTCTTTGGCCCAGTATTTCTATTCCTGAAAATATATTACAAGAACATGATTGAAAGGAAGAAAAATTTACATACCGAAAATGTGCAATAGGGGTTATTTTAATAATCAAAACTTGGAAACATTAAAAATGTTCCTAATAGGAGAGCAGGGTTGAGTAAATTATAGCCTAGTAACCATATGAGGCATTATTAATATATTAATTAATTCAGGAAGACATTTGATCATTCACACATTCAAACACGTATTTATTAAGCACCAACTATTAGCAGTGAAAAAACAATCATTCATCCTCAAGAAACTTACAAAAAAAAAGACACAAAGAGACTAAATAGAAAACACTGTGTCAAGTGCTATCTTGGAGGTATTACAAAGTGCCAAGGAGACAGAAAGGGGGCTTAAAGCTCTGTGGGAGAATCAGGGATGTTGAAACAAGTTTTATTATTAATATGATAGTTAATTAATTTATACATGCTCCTTATAAAAATTATTACAGATCAGGTGAGTCTTCCCTTTGATCACTCTCCCAATCATGGTCCCCTTTTCTCTCCTCTACCGCCTTCCCTATGCCACCAAACAGAACAACAACTATTACAAGTTTTGGGGAGAAATAACCCAGATCTGTTATATCTATTTACACATGCAGAAATGTACCCAGAAGAATGTGCTGTTTGGGGAGGTGGGTGCTTTTTGTCTTTTGGACAATGGTTTGTCTACATCTTTCACACTGTGCATTGGGCAGACACCAAGAGGTGAAACTGCTGGGTCACAGGGTATGTGCAATAAAACATTTCATTACTACACCAAATTGCTATGTTATACATAAAATATTCTTCCAGAGAAACTAAAAAATTTAAATACCATGATCATAATGATGTGAAGGCCAGAACAGCCTAGAGAAAGAAGGAATTCAAGACAAGGAGAATGGTAGGGATAACCCTGTAATAATCAAAGTGCTGAATGATCCATTAGGGATTGAACGAGGGTCCAGAAAATAGGAACAGATAGGAATGAGGTAAAACAATGAGAATTTATAAGTATCTATTAGCTTTGGTACTAGGAGGTCATTATGACCTGGGCAAAAACAGTTGTAGCAGGTTTATAATGCATGGGGTGTGACACCTGGCAGTTAGGTCTCCAGTACACTTATTTTGCTTGAATGCTGAAGACTGGGTAAACTTTAACTTTAAAATGTTTTATTTAATGTGATTAGAGTCTTATTTTTACAATGAAAAGAATTTGAGGGAAAAAGTAAAAGACATCAGAATCTAGGTTGTGCTTTGGATGCTGTTCTTTCACTACCAATCTCAAACCACTTAGCTAGTACTTTTCACTTTGACTTCTATTCTAGTTAGGAGATTAGAAGTGCCAGGCAGGCAATTAAGATTGGTTTGACTCTTGTGACATGCACAATTACCTTCTTACCTCTCCAGATCTACTAGTCTCTATCCTCACAACTGCTGGCACACTTCTCAGATAGGCTTCTAGTGTAGGGTAACCTAACTGCTTAAAGGGGATCCAGTCTCCAGTCAAGGATCTGTACTCTCCTTGGAGTCGGGGTAATGCTATTCCGTTCTTATGAGACTGTAGGACAGCTCGTAGCATTTTTGAAACCAGATCTGCTTCCAGCATCTTCACCTATAAGAACATAATAGAAGGTTACTATAATAGGATTCATTAGTCTGTGGATTCAAATAGATTTTCAGAGTGTACACGTGTTAGATTATCCCATCAACTATTACAGAATATTTTCTGTGCTATTACAATACAGAGAAATAACTGCTATGGTGGAGAAAAGCACAGAATACTATGAGAAGACAGGGAAGTCAGATGGGCAAAAAGACTAGTCTGGGGAGGGAAGGGAATTTTTCCCAGATAAGGGGAGGCCTGAATGGAATCCTGAAGGACATGAAGGAATCAGCCAGGCAAGGAGGAAAAGGGTGTGTGGGCTAAGGATGGGGAGAGGTATCAACCTCAAGTAAAGGGAACAGGAAGTTCAAAAGGCACAGAGTTCAGAGAGAAGTACATGGTTGATTCTGAGGAATTCCAGGCAGTCAAGTGGCTGGACATAACTGAACAAAGACTCTAAGGTTATAAGCTGAGGACTGAAAGAGGTGGAGAGAGGCAGATCCAGGCGAGACCCCTATATTATGTTAACATGTGCATTTTGGCAAACATAATGTGGGGCCTTAGAGATATTTTAAACAGGGGAATAAAGTGATCAACTCTGCATTTTAGAAAAGGTAACTATTCAGTAGTGGGGACGATAAATGCAAAGGAGAAAAACTGATAAGTTGTCAAGATACTTGGAAATGTGGAGGACTTGAAAACAGGGCCCTGGGAATAAACAAAAAATCAATTTAAGAGGTGATTAGGAGGTAGAATCAACAGAAATTGATTAACTGGTTTGTATAATGAGGGAAGTTCCCAAGTTTCTAGCTTAGAAACATGGTGGGAAGTAATGACCCACACTGAGATGAGGTAGAACAGGTTTGTAAGAGAGGAAGAGAATGAATTCCTTTGGGACATATGGAGGCTGGGATGCTTGTAGGTCAGCCACACAGATATATTAACTAGGAATTCAGGTTAGAGATCTGAGGTGGATTTAGAGTTGCTGGCCTTCAACATATATGTGGTATTTGGTATCCAGGGAGTCAAAAATAAGGTTAAGGATGGACCTCTATGGAAGGCTGTCATTAAAGCATGGGCAGAGAAAGAAGAACCTATAAAAGGCTGAGAAAAAGTAACCAGAGAGATAGAAGTCGAAAAGGCAGAGCTGGTGTCATATAAACAAAAAGAGGAAAGAACCAAGAAGAATGGTATATTCAAAAGTGTCATACACAGCAGACAGGTCAAGCAAGAGAAAAAATGAATTTTCATTGGTCAGTAACTGGCATTTTTCAAGATTAACCACTCATATTCTCTTTGGACTAATGGTAAATGGAATGGTGATACAATGACAGAATGACATTCAAGAAGCCAGGAAAAGTGGACTTAGGAAGGCAAGCCATGGACAGCTTGTTAAAAAATTCTTCCTTCAGGGCGCCTGGGTGGCTCAGTTGGTTGGGCGACTGCCTTCAGCTCAGGTCATGATCCTGGAGTCCCGGGATCGAGTCCCGCATCGGGCTTCCTGCTCAGCAGGGAGTCTGCTTCTCCCTCTGACCCTCCTCCCTCTCATGCTCTCTGTCTCTCATTCTCTCTGTCTCAAATAAATAAATAAAATCTTTAAAAAAAAAAAATTCTTCCTTCAGGGCGCCGGGGTGGCTCAGTTGGTTAAGCAACTGCCTTCAGCTCAGGTCATGATCCTGGAGTCCCGGGATCGAGTCCCACATCGGGCTCCCTGCTCAGCGGGGAGTCTGCTTCTCCCTCTGACCCTCCCCGCTCTTGTGCTCTCTCTCTCTTTCATTCTCTCTCTCAAATAAATAAAATCTTTAAAAAAAAAAATTCTTCCTTCAACAGTGCTACCCAACAGAACCTTCTGTGCTGATGGAAATGTTTTATATCTGTGCTGTCCAATACACGTGGTGACTGAGCACTTGAAGTGTGGCCAGCACGACTGAGGAACTGAATTTTTAATTTAATTGGAATTAAATGTGGCTAATGGATACTATATTGGACAGTACAGAGTTCTAGACAGTCTTATTCTTTCTCTGGTTTAGAAAACAAGAAGGAGGCATAGTCTACAGTGCTAGCATTTCCCTCCTTTGTCCATTTTGAAAAGGAAATATGATATCAGCTTCTTTGTGAGTGCTCTTAATTATAAATATGATATTCAAATGACAGCGAGGTTTACATGGCAAATAACCTAAATACTCATTATATACTTCCCTCTGCTAAATATTAACTCTGTTCAAATAGTCACCACCAGCACCAACATTTAATTAATACTATGTGTATATACACAATGTGCAGTATAACAGTATTTGAAAGGGGAATGTGATAAAGACATATATTGTAAACCTTATGGCAACCACTAAAAATTTTTAAAGAAGCATAATTAATAGGCCAGTAGTAAAGATAAAGCAGGATAAAAAGTTAAACCAAAAAGCAATTAGATGTACACCTGAAACTATATACTACCATATGTAAACTATCCTGGAATTAAAAAAAAAAAAAGCAATTAGAAGTAAAAAAAAAAATTAGGCAAACACGGGGGGGCAGAAACAACAACCACCACAAAGAACAGATAACACAAATAGAAGACATGTGGCAAAATGGTAGATTTAAAGCCAACCACAGCAATAATTACATCAAATGTAAATGTTGAAAATATCTCAATAAAAATTTAGGATTGGTGGAGTGGATATAAAAGACTTACCTACACACTATATACGAGAAACAACATAGGTTCAAAGTAAAAAGATAGAAAAAGATATGCCATATTAATTAATACCAAAACAAGGAATATCACCCAGGATAAGGACAGACGTTACATAATTAAGGAGTTAATTCATCAGAAAGATATAAGAATCCCAATGTGACTGCACCAAATATCAGCGCTTCAAAACACATGAAGCAGAAACCAATAGAACTGAAAGAATAAATATCTTCACAATTATTTGGAAAATTCAACACTTCTTTCTCAGTAATTGGCAGAACGAGTAAACAAGAAATCAGTAAGGATATAGAAGAGCTGATTAACAACATCAACCAAACTGACCTAACTGATATTTATAGAAGACCCTACCCCAATAATAGCAGAATACACATTCTTTTCAAGAGCACGTGGGGCATTCACCAAAACAGAATATATTCTGGGACTTAAGACAATCCTTGACCAATTTAGAATAGCTGAAATTATACAAAGAGTATCCCATGACCAGAAAAAAATTAAATTAGGTATCAGTAACAGAAAGATATGTGGACAATCCCTACGTATTTGCAATTTAATGACGTTTCTAAAACACCAAGGGTCAGAAAGGAAGCCTCCTTCAGAACAAAAACATCAGAAAATATTTTTAAATAAATGAAAACACAATGTACAGAAATTTGCTGGATGCCATTAAAACAATACTTAAAGGGAATTTTGTAGCATTATATGCCTATGTTAGAAAAGAAGAAAGGTCCCAATTCAGTGATCTAATCTACTATCTTGAGAAAAGAGAGCAAATTACACCAAAAGTAAGAAAAAGGAAGAAGTAATAAAAATGAGAGCAAAATTAATATCGAACTGATGAAACACATCAGTAATGAAATAGAAAAGTTAAAGAAAAAAATCATGAAACCAAAACTAGTTTTTTAAAAACATCAATAAAATTGATAAAGAAAAAAAGAGAGAAGACACAAATTATTATTAATGGGATTAAAGAACAGGCCATCAATACAGGTCATATAGCCATTAAAAAGCAAATATAATGAATAACTTATGCCAATAATTTTGGTCAGTTAGATGAAATGGAGTAAATTCATTGAAAGACACAAATTCTAAAGCTTATTCAAGAAGATATAAATAACCTTAATATCCCTGTATCTGTTAGAGAAGTTGAATTTGTAGTTAAAAACCTTCACATAAGGAAAACTCAAACCCAGATGATTTTATTGTCAATTCTACCAAAACTTCAAGAAAAAATAATGCTACTTCTACACAAACTCTTCCAAACAACACAGGGGAAGGGAATACTTCTAAACTCATTTTATGAGGCCAGCATTATGCTGATACTGAAACCAGAAAAAACATTATAAGAAAAGCACAAACCAACATCCCTCATTAACATAATTGCAAAAATTCCTAACAAAATATTAACAAACCAAATCTAACAATATGTAAGAAGGATAACACATCATGATCAACTATGGTTTACTCTAGAAATGCAAGACTGGTTCAACATTCATAAATCAACCAATGTAACTAACCATATCAACAGACTAAAGGAGAAAAATCACATGATATCAATAGGTGAAGAAAAGACATTTGACAAAGTTCAAAATCATTTATGATAAGAACTCTCAGAAAGTAAGAATAGAAGGGGACCTCCTCAACCTGATAAAGAATATCTGCGGAAAACCCACAGCTAACATAATATGTAACAAGAAAAGAATGAATGCTTTCTCCCTAAGATTGGTAAAAGGACAAGAATGTTCACTCTCTTCATTCCTATTCATTATCACACTGGAGGTCCTTGCCAGTGCAAAAAGACTGATTTCAAGACTTACTATAAAAGTATATTAATCAAAGTAATGTACTGTCAAAAGGACAGTCACATCAATGGAACAGAATACATAATCCAGAAATAGACCAACACATATATAGTCAAGTGATTTTTGACAGTTACCAAAAAAATTCAATGGACAAAGTTCAAGACTGCTGTCTAGCTTGAAAAAGCTAAAACTGTAAAAAGTCTAGAAAAAAACAAAGGAGTAAATCTTTGCAATCTTGGGTTTGGCTAAGATTTTATTTTAGAACACAGAAGAAAGAATTGACAAATTGGATCTCATCAAAATTTTAAATTTCTGCTCTTTTAAATTTAAATTTCTGTTGAGAAAATGAAAAGACAAGCCACAGACTGAAAGAATATATTTTCTTTTTTTGTTGTTTCTTCTATTTTTTTAAATTTTATTATGTTATGTTAGTCACCATACATCATTAGTTTTTTTTTTTTTTTAAAGATTTTTTATTTATTTATTCATGAGAGACAGAG